TGCAGTGGTCTGGGCACAAGGGACTGATGAGTTAGGTAACAATGTGAGCCTAGAGGAGTTAGAACTTGGACAGACCTCACGGAGTAGTGGGGCTTTTTGTCTGGAGGCCTGGAGCCCACTCTCATCTTTCCTTAAGAGAAATACTGCCAGAGGGGTTCCAAGGGAGATTGCTCTTCCCTGAGAGTACTTCGTCTTCTCTGGGCTATTGGGGCCCAAGAGGTAAAAACTGAAAGGCGGCGAGTCCGGTGTGGTGGGTCACACCTGTAATCCTAGCACTTTGGGAGGACGAGGCAGGAGGATTGCTGGAGGCCAGGAGTTCAAGACCAGCTTGAGCAATGTAGTGAGACCCCATCCCTACAAAAAAATAGAAAAAAATTAGCCAGGTGTGGTGGCACACATGTGTAGTCCCAGCTACTCAGGAGGCTGAGGCAGGAAGATCACTTGAGCCCAGGAGTTTGAGGTTGCAATGAATTGTAATGACACCACTACAATCTAGTCCTGGCAACAGACCCTGTCTCAGAAAAAGTAAAACAACAAAACTGAAAGGCAATTTGGAGAAGTTCAATGAGAAGAGCTCATCATTTTTGGAGCACAATAGAATTTGATCCTCAGTTCACAGGCTTTAGAGCTCACAACAGGTTTGGGACACAGATGCCACCTCTCTCACCTTGCCTTTAACCTCACACCCTGTGGCCCTCCCTCTGACATGGAGAGGAGGGAAAAGGATGTAGCTTCCTTGGGATCTGAGTCCTGCTTTTCCTTCCAGTTGTGCCTTGTCCCTGCCTGGACTCATTTCCAGAAACCAGCTTCCATTTCTCCTGCAGTGGGCATTAGCTGCTTCTCTGTTACCACGGGACTTGGTGCAGTCCCTCCTCCAGCCCAGCCAGCTCTGTAAACAGCTTTTGGTTTTGAGGAGGAAGATTCCCAGGCCACCAACAGTCAAGGCATCTTTGGTTCACCAGGTGAGCATTTATTGGCTGCTCCAGGAAGAGCGCTGCGCAAAGGGGAGGAGGAGGGCACCAGCGTGACTCAGCCTCTCCCGGGAACTGACGCTGTTGTTGGCATTGGAAGTGCAGCCCCCTCGCTGACAAGTGTGGAGACTGAGGCCCAGAGGAGGGGAGGCATTCAGTCTCAGCTGTTCCTCCTTTATGGAGTACGCACCACCCGGGGCCAGGCTGGTGACAAGGCTTCCTGCAGTTACACAGGTAGTTTTATGACAGTGTTCACAGACTGGGGCTCAGGCCTCTCCGTTTCCAGTCCTCAACCTTCCATTTTAGCAGTGGTTCTGGGCCTGGCTGGTTCAGATTCATTAGTCTAGAGTACAGCCTGGCTTCCTGTCCCTTTCTGAAAGTTTGTCGGGGGATTCAGATCACAGCCAGGTTTAGCAGTTGCTGTAAGGGACCTGCTGCTCCTGCGTAAGTGGCAGTGGAATGAGAGAAACAAGTGGATTCTGGAGAATGATGACTTGAGCCGGAGCAGGAAGAGCGTCATGAATAATGGTCATCACTTGTGCATGTGTGCCTGGCGGGGCAGCTGCCGGGCAGGTCTAGATGAGACGTGGAGGCCTCTGTTTCCTCCTTGCTGAGCCTTGAGAGGACAGTGGAGTCTTGCTTGCCGTAGCTTCCTTCCCCAGCTTCCTTCCCCAGCAGGTCTGCGAGCAGCAGGGTGAGTGGGAACGCACTCACACGGGCCCAGGCGTGCACCCCCGACCACTCCTGCTCACACCCCCCCTCCCTCACTGGCGGCAGTCTGTTCATCTCAGCTGTTTTCATTTGTTACTGTCTGTCTCTTCCATTTGCCCGAGGGGCAAGACCTGTTTTTTCCTTTCGTTACCCAAGAGGTCATAGGCACTGTTGCCACAAAGCACAGAAGAATGAGTTACAGAGGGGCTTGTTGGACAGGAACAGCTGTTATTTGTCCAGCCCTTTGAAGCCAGGGGCCCAGAGCCTCCCTGGGCATGTGTTCCTCCATCCCCTTGGCCTTCCTGACGGAGGCCAAGCAGCTGTGGTGGGTCTGTGTCCACAGATGGTCATCCAAGACACTGAGAGGGGAAGATATTTATTAGGTTACCTTGGGAGCCTCGAATTGCCTCTATCCCCTTGCTCTCCACAAGTCCTGAGCCCCCCCATTCTGTGGGAAGAAAACAATATAATAATCAAGAAATCATTTCTCTTTGGCTCTGACTTGATTTGCCTACAGATAGATTCACCTTCCTTATTTTTTCTTCTTAATTTAAAGGTAAATAAATTTTTCAGGCTGGGCACAGTGGTTCACGCCTGTAATCCTAGCACTTTGGGAGGCTAAGGCAGGAGGATCACTTCAGTCTTGGTGTTCAAGACCAGCCTGAGCAAGAGCAAGACCGCTGTCTCTACAAAAAACAGAAAAATTAGCCAGACATGGTGGTACGTACCTGTAGTCCCAGCTACTTGTGAGGCTGAGACAGGAGGATCCTTCGAGCCCAGGAGTTTGAGGTTGTAGTGAGCTATGATGACCCACTGCACTCAAGTTTGGCTGACAGAGCAAGACTCTGTCTTAAAAAAAAAAAAAAAAAAATCATTCTTTGAATACATTAAAGGCAGGAGTCTAGGCTAGGGGTTATAAACTCTGAATTCCATCTAGCCTTTGCTAATAGCTATAGCCTGGGCAAGTCCTTTCCCCTCTCTTGGTGCTCAGTCTCCACCACTGTAAATGAAAGTTAGAATCTATCCTGAGGCTTGCTACACATGAGAACTGCTGGGGCAGCTCCGTCCCGGGAGATTCTGGTTCAGGGTGTCAGGAGGGACTTGGGAATCGGAGTACAGGGGTGTTAAGGTCTGTTCAACCCTTTCAGGTGAGCCTGGCAAGGTGGGGTGGCCGGGTGACTGTGGCTTACTTTTAGTGAGAAGAGGTCGGGCCCTGTGGGAAACTGGCCCTTGGCCCTTCACCAGGCCTGGCATGTTCTCAAGTCCCTCTCCTGTTCCTCCAGATTGGTCTTCAGCAGAAGAGGAGCAGACTTGAGTTGCTTTGGGAACAACAGTGCAGAGTGGGATTGAAAATGCCGTTCCTGGATTTTCTGTTTTAAAGCTTTGGCTAAAAGGACCAACTTTTTCTTTATTTATTTTACAACTGAACTCTGCCCTTAATTCCTCTTTTTATAACCTGAAGGGAGACCACCTGGGGGTGACTCCAGCCTCCGAGAGATTGAAGAGAAATTATTTTTAGGCCGGGCGCGGTGGCTCACACCTGTAATCCTAGCACTCTGGGAGGCTGAGGCGGGCGGATTGCTCGAGGTCAGGAGTTCGAAACCAGCCTGAGCGAGACCCCATCTCTACTATAAATAGGAAGAAATTAATTGGCCAAGTAATACCTACAGAAAAAATTAGCCGGGCATGGTGGCACATGCCTGTAGTCCCAGCTACTCGGGAGGCTGAGGCAGGAGGATTGCTTGAGCCCAGGAGTTTGAGGTTGCTGTGAGCTGGGCTGACGCCATGGCACTCACTCTAGCCTGGGCAACAGAGTGAGACTCTGTCTCAAAAAAAAAAGAGAAATGATTTTTAAATGGCTGCGTAATGTAGTGATGGGTATTTTCTTCTTTCTACCCTGGCACCCTGGGTGAGAATGAGCCTCGGCAAATTTAAATTTCTGGGTTGGTCCCCTGCTGCCCCAAGCCATGTACCTGCTCAGCCACATCCCAGCGGCTGCCTCTCCTGTCGCTTGGTGTGTTCTCAGGGGAGGCAAACTCATTCCATTATAAGCTCGAGCAAAGTGTAATTAGGACAGTAAATCTGCCGTTTAACAACAAAGGTCCTCTGACAGATTCCAAGGTTCCAGAGAAGTGATCTGAGGATGACAAAGGAAGGGTGAGAGACCTGGCTTTGATTTCATTGCTTCTAGCCTGGGAGCAAAGTCCAAGGCATGGTAACCCCACTTACTGCAGAAAATGCAACATGACTTTTTTAAAAGTCTGTTATGTGACAGTCTGAGGTTGCAGGAATATGGTCATGACATTATAAAAGTCTCTTTTTTTTTCTTTCTGTGCCTTGCAGTGTAACTATAACCCCAACTTTCCACCCTTCATCACCATCCTTCTATTTCTTAGTCATCTGCCACTTACACGCAGTGTACTGTGGGTTGTGTATGCATTTTCTTTTTTTCTTTCTTTTGTTCTTTTTAAATTTTTTAGAGACAGGCTCTCACTCTGTCACCCAGGCTGGAGTGCAGTGGCACCATCATGGTTCACTGCAGCCTCAAACTCCTGGGCTCAAGCGACCCTCCTGCCTCAGCCTCCTGAGTTGCCGGGACTACAGGCACATACCGCTGTGCCCAGCTCTGTGTGTGCATTTTCTCATTCAGTCTGCACAACAGCCCTGTGAGGCAGCCTTGTGATCCATAAAACCTCATTTTATGGATGAGAAAACAGGTTTAGAGAGGCAAGTGACTTGCCCAGGGTTACACAGCATGTGAGTAGAGGAGCTGGACTGGAAGAGGTCGTGCTTTTAACCTTTGTGCTGTGCTACTGCTGCTTGGTCTGAGGGAGCCACAAGCCATGACACTGAGCTCAGAGTTACACTGCCAACACCACCCAGCCTGTCATCCTGTTCCTTACATTCCTTCTTGGCTAGGTCTGTACTTCTCTAAACCTCAGGCTTAGTGGCCACCAAGACACTGCTTGCCACCACTGAGCTACCATCTGGGCCACCTCTTGGCTAAGGAGAAGAATTGTGCATGTCAGTCTAGACTAGCCACCCAGCTAGTCCTAGTGCTGGTTCTTAAGGTGTGGTGGGCAGTGAGACCTTCTGTGGGGAGGGGGCTTTTGGGCAAAAGAGGGCCCAAACACCTGGACCCTATTTGTGGTCTCTCTGCAACTCACTTGGGTGGCTGCAGGCAGGCCATTTCTTCCCCTGAGCCTCAGTGTCCCAGGCTAGAAAGTGGAAGCCAGGGGGCCCTGTGGAAATCTGAAAAGTGCCTTGGGTTCTCCAAAGAGGGACAGGTGTCTGTCTCCTTTGCATACCTTTCCATAGGAAGTCTGCCTGCAACGGGACACTGCCTCTTCCAGAAAGCACCTGGCCTTGTTCTGCCTGCTCAGCATTTTCATCACCAAATTTACAATGTTAGTTTGCCTTCTTTATGAATGTTTTTTAAAAAAATACTGGATGCCTTTCCTGGAGGGTTTCTTCTCTCCAGATGGCTGCAAAGCTCCTTGAGCTCAGGGTGTGACCCTGCCCCTCTGAGCTGTGGCTGTCCCTCTCCCAGTTGTTTTGGCCCAAACTGATCAAGCCTGCTCACCTCCGACCGGCAGGTCCTGCTGGCTTTCCTCTGGTGACCTTCGTGATCGGCTGAGCGTGCCCTACTCTGCACTTTTTCCCGGCTCTGGCTCCATAATCTCTCGGACCTCCCTCTTTCCTGGGAAGATGTTCCTGGTGGGCCTGACTGGGGGCATTGCCTCTGGCAAGAGCTCAGTGATCCAGGTGTTCCAGCAGCTCGGCTGTGCAGTGATTGACGTGGACATCATTGCCCGGCATGGTGAGTTGGAGGAGGCCGTTGGGGGTTGTGCATGGCAGCTCCCCTTTGCTTCCTTTCTTCCGTAAGTCTCAGAGGAGAGGAAGGCTCCTGTGGGCCCTGGTCTGACTTCCCGTCCTGCCCCATGCTCGCCCGCCCTGCCTGCTCTTTGCTCTTCCCTCTCTTTAGAATCCCACCCCACCTCAGCTTGCCCTGTTACCTGTGCGCTCTGCTCTTTTCCTTACCTGCTTTCCTTCCCCTCATTTGTTTTTGTTCCACCTAAAAGAAGCACTCAGGGTTCCCCATCATTTTGCCTCTAGTCACCTGGGGTCCTCTGGCTGGCTGGAGGTCTCCAGAGAGTGACCCAGCCTCCTCTTCATGCCACAGTCGTTCAGCCAGGATACCCCGCACACCGGCGCATCGTGGAGGCCTTCGGCACTGAGGTCTTGCTGGAGAATGGTGACATCAATCGCAAGGTCCTGGGGGACCTGATCTTTAACCAGCCTGACCGGCGGCAGCTGCTCAACGCCATCACTCACCCTGAGATCCAAAAGGAAATGATGAAGGAGACCTTCAAGTACTTCCTCCGGGGTAAGACCAGGGCCGGGGACAGGGGTGGGGGCAAAGCCCTCTCCTTCCCGGGCCAGGACCCCTCACCTCTGCAGAAAGTTTGGCCAGGGGAGGGAGCTGGTTATCCAGGCTGGTGAGTTCACACTGCTATGGCACCCCCTCCACGCAGAGCCCCAGAGGAAAGAAGCACATGGCCCTCAACTCTTAAGGAGGTTGGCAATTTGATGAGAAGAGACACTTGAGGTTTTTGAGCCATGATCCCAGGAAGTAAGTTGGTTTTTTTAGGAGGGATGGGAATAATAATAGCTGATGAATAATGGAGTCAGAGACCTGAGTTCACATCTTAACCCTGATATTTTCTAGCCTGTGACTTTGATGAGGGATCCAACCCCACTTCTGTGCTACGGGGATAATAATGCCAATGTGAAAATCTGTTAGGAGGACTGAGAGTCCACATCAGTGACAGTTATTACACAATTATAAACTGCAGTCAGTCAGTTTTGGTGCTGGTCCAGCCACCTGCGAAAGCAAGTTTGTAGCCTGGAAGTTGGGGAGGGACCAAGATGGCCAGGGCAGGCAGAGGAGGGTTTCCAAGTAGAGGATAATTCTCCAGGGCTAGAGCCCCATGGAGAGGGTTAGCCTGGCAGGTGCAGGGACAGGCAGGTGATGTGCCAAGACTGAAAGGAGGAAGAGTATTTGAAAAGCAGGGGTCTGGGGTCAGTTAGCAAGAATGTTCTCCCAAGCCATACACCATGGTTCAAGCTCTGTTCTTCAAGATGGTGTTGAGCAGGGTGACCTGACTGTCCTGGATGGGGTTGGTCACCAGGAGAAGTGGTAGGGCAGAGAGGAGTGTCTCAGGATCAGGCAGGAGGCTGGCCTAGGGCCCCTGGAGATCTGCCTGTCAGCTCTTGGCATATGTGGCCTCCAGCCTGAGCCTCCAAGTTGAAGGCCTGGCTGCCCATTTCCCCACTGTCAGGCACGGTGCTGAGACGGTCTTTCCTGGAGGATATGGGGGAGCCTTTTGGATTTTCCTTGGGCTTTCACGCTGTGACCATGGCCAAACCCCTCCCTTACTCTGTCATGTGTCAAGTGGGGAACCTCCCCCCACTCCCATTCCCCTCTGGCCAGTACCTCCTTCCAGAAGAGGGATGACTTGACAGACATCCGTGATGGTGACCCTCCCCTCGCCCCTCAGGGCTGGAGCTGGCTCGGGCATCCTCCCTGCTGGACCCACTTTGCTCTTCATCTCAGCACCTTGCCACAGGCGTCCGTCCCTTCCTCCACTCTCACGAAGTCTCTGTCTCTGCCTTTGTCCTGCCTCCTGTGTCTGTGCCAGAACCCCTCCTGTCCCCCACCCAAGAGCGCAGCCTTCTGCCTTTCATTCCTGCCCTTTTGCATTCGCTCCCAGGCCGATTGCAAGCGCATCTGCAGGGCTTCAAGGCAGCAGTGGCTGTCCCCTTCTGAAATTAAGCATTGGATAATGTCACCCGCTCCACAGCTCTCCCTCTGTGTCATCCACCCAGCCTCCCGCCTCCCCAACCACCACCACTTAAATAAAAGCCAGAAAGCGCTTTTCAGCTCGATAAGGTGAAAAATGGGGACGACAGCTGTGGCTTCCACAGTCCCAGTTTTCCCTGATGAGTATAACAAATACAACTGTCAAAGTTGGTATAATCAAACGTCAGATAAGATCACCAGCTGTTGGGGACTTCTCTGTGTAGGCAGGCGGATGTCTTAATAGAGTCAGGATGGTTTGCAGAGCTTATCAAGCAGGAGGGATGTGACAGCTGAATAGCCCTTTGCCGGTGACCCTGAGAGCTGGCCATGAGCTCCCAAGAGGGGCCCGAAAAAGGACAGTGAGGGGGGAGGAGGCAGCAGGAGCTGAGCAGGAAAGGGAGATAAGAGGCCCAGAGAGGATCTGGTCTTGGCTCCTGCTCCAAGTTTGGGGGGTGGGGGAGCTGGCCTCCCTCTTGCAGTAATAGCCGTCATTTATGGTGCACTTAGGAGGTGCTGGGAGAGAGGTGCTGAGTAGTTTACATGCATTCAAAGCTTATTTCATCTTTACCCTCATCCTATGAAATAGGTATTCTTTTTACTCATTTACACAGAGGTTTATTAAGGGGCACAAGGTCACACGGTGGGGAAGTAGGGGCTACCAACCAAGGCACATCATCAGAGCCATGCTCTAACCCCCTTGTTGAACTGCAGGCTTCTCTTGGGCTTCCTGAGCAGCAGGTCCTGGGGAACAGGAAACCAAGCAGCTGGGGTTGTCACCCCCATTCCCTACATCACCTTGAGTGCTGGTTTCCTGTGACATACCTGGAATTGGTGTGATGTGTGTCTGGTTCTGTGGTTGGAAGTGTTTGGAGTGGGACACTCCAGGGATGCAGTCTCCTGTCCCTTATCCTCAGTGCTCCCCTGGACCCCTCCCAGCTTGGTACACACACAGGGGTCACTGATGTAAAGAGAACTAGGAGTATGTGGCCACGGTGCTTCTGGACAGCACCTGTGGTGGTGTTCACTCAGGTGGATGGGGGTGCCGCCTTTGGCCTTGGCTTACAGTGGGAGGGCCAGCCAGTGCCTCTTACCCGCTGGAGTGAGTTATGCAGTAGTCGTGAGCAGCCCCACTGCCTCCAGACCCAGGCCTTACAACTCCTGGCCATGAGTCTGTCTCTGTTGAGAGAGGCAGACTCTTTCCTTTTAGGGCTGCTGCTGCTGCCACCCATGTGAGCCTCTCATAGAGAGTTGGTAGAGCTAGCCAAACCTTACTGTTCTCAGCAGGGATCAGGCTTGGACCTGGCTGGGGGGGTGGGCAGAATCTATCCTTTTGGGGTTTTTTTTGGGCAAAGGTAGATGAAGTAGAGCTGAAAGGGCCCAGCTACTCCTGGAAACTCTCCCTAGTCTCCTGCAACTCTGTGTCATTTCCCTGCTGAGAAGTAACAACTCTTGGGTTCAAGATCAAGGTGAACTAAACCCTTTGTGCCTGCCCTGACCGCCCCCTCAGCGTTGCCTCACACTGCCTGAGGCCTCTGCTTCAACCCGCACAGTAGAGGCTCCCAACTCCATGTGCTTTGCAGGTCCTCATTCCTGGAATCCTCACCTCCACCTTCTCATTTTCTAGTATCAAAAGACCTACCTACTTTCCAAGGCCAGTGTAAGTACCAGCCCTGCAAGGTCTTCCCTGATGAGCCAGCCAGAATGATTTCCCGCAGCATTCCGTGCTGAATGGCATTGGAACTGGCTAGCGTTCAGGGTCTGCCTGTCCTTGGAAGGTCTGCCCCTCTGCTGAGTGCTCTGGACGGTGGGGGCCGACAGTTTCGTCTCTGTTCCCCCACCCAGCACATAATCAGTTCTCAGTGTGTGCTTGCAGAATTGAACTTGTGGGTTCTCCAACCTCTGCGCAGGATACCGCTATGTGATTCTGGATATCCCCCTGCTGTTTGAGACCAAGAAGCTGCTCAAGTACATGAAGCACACAGTGGTCGTGTACTGGTGAGTGTGTAGCATGCTGAGGGTGGGAAGGAAGACCCCCGGGAAAAGCCCACATCACTTTTCACTTTGCCCTTTCCCCACGAGGCAGCCAGGAGGCACAGGGGGTTTGGGCAGCCGTGTCCAGAGTCTACAGAACCAACCTCTGCACCCAGATACTCCTGGGGGCAGGTGCAGGAAGAGATGGGCCCCCAGGCTTCTCTAGCGTTTGGGGAGGGCTCCCCCTGCTGGCCGCTGGAGGCACTGCCAGCTGCCAGGCCTTACCCACAACCCCCTGTCGTTACTCAGCGGTTCCCTTCTCCCTCCTGCAGCGCTTCACAATTTTCCACACAACTCCCACACTTGTGACTTCATGCAGTTTACCTTTCAGCATGAGGGGGTCAGAACAGAGGTTGACATTTCTGAGTTATTGGCAAGGGGGGAGTTACGGAATTTGTCTAGGGTCACCCATTGGTAACACCTATGAACAGGAAGGTGCATGGAGGGGACTGTCAGAGCCCAGCTACGGAAGGAACTTTGTTCTCAGAGTCCCCCAGGACATGAAGCAAACCAGAATCCAGGTTTAGCAAACAGAGGAGGATCAAACCGTGGGAGAAAATGAGTCACAGCCCCAGTGGGTGAGAGAGTAGATGAGGCTACAGGGTAGAATGTCTTTGGCACCCAGAAACTTCCGGATGCCACCCACAAGTACAGCAGACACATAGGTGGGCACTTGGTTCTGCAGGTATTTTGGGCACAGGGTGGCTCTCAAAAGAGTTATGCGTTGGAGGCCTCTTTCCTCAGGTCCCTCGTGGGCTGTCGTTGAAAGCGCAGTCTGAATCTCCTGAGCCTGGTCAGGGGGACTCCGGGTGTCTCCTCAGCTCCCCTACTGGGTCGTGTCTCCCTCTGTAAACCTGCAGCCTCTCTGCGTTCTTTGTTCCCTGTTTGTGAGACTATCAACTGAGGCCAAGTAGACCCCACAAAGACCCGGAATTCTCTTTGCCTTAGTAATACAATTGGGACTTTGTACGTAGGGATAAAAATTTTTTTGAAAGGATCTTAGGTCTTAGAGTGTAGGTGAGAAGACAGAATGGGGGCCGATTGCATCTGCAGTCACCGGTGCCTACCCCTGCCACCCTCCTCATCCCGCGATATCCTTTGAGGTGGGTCTGTTTGCTGAGCGAAGAGATAGCTGTGGCTTCTGGTGGATGAGTGGGGCTGTGCTGGTCCTGCCTGCTCTCTGGGAGATCTTTAGCCCCACTCACCAGCCGTAGGGGCCTTGCCAGAATCCTGGGTGCTGTTCATGCCCCGCTTCCAGCACCTGTGGGTATACAAATGCTGAGAGATGCAGAGAGAAGAGTAAGTGATTATTTGCTTTTCACCAAAGGGATCTACGCTTTACAAAAATAACAATGCCCTCATAGATTTCTTTAACTGGCAAACTACTGGTGCATTTGAAATTACACAGGGCTGGGCGTGGTGGCTCACACCTGTAATCCTAGCACTCGGGGGGCTGAGGCAGGTGCACTGTTTGAGCTCAGGAGTTCGAAACCAGCCTGAGCCAGAGTGAGACCCCTGTCTCTACTAAAAAATAGAAACAATTAGCCGGGTATGGTGGCGTATGTCTGTAGTCCCAGCTATTTGGGAGGCTGAGGCAGGAAGATTGCCTGAGCCCAGGAGTTTGAGGTTGCTGTGAGCTAGGCTGACACCATGGCACTCTAGCCCGGGCAACAGAGTGAGACTGTGTCTCAAAAAAAAAAAAAACAAAAAGCTTGTAGTCCCAGTTACTTGGGAGGCTGAGACAGGAGGATCGCTTGAGCCCAGGAGTTTGAGGTTGCTGTGAGCTAGGCTAACGCCATGGCACTCACTCTAGCCTGGGCAACAAGGTGAGACTCTGTCTCAAAAAAAAAAAAAAAAATATCAAGCAGAACCTTGGAGGTGAAAAAAAAAAAGAAAGAATAAAAAAAAAATTAGAAAAAATGTTTTAAATACTAAAAAAATTTTTTAATTTAAAATTAAAAAAAAAAAGAAATTACATAGCGCATTTCCCAAAGTGTGATTATACCAGAACATGATTATTCTTGTTTTTGAGGAATTTGTCAATTATAGAATAAGCATTTGGTTAAAAAATCCCATTACTACGATAGCACCAAGCTTTAAACTAACTGTAATGGACCATTTCTCAGCCCCAGGAAGGGCTGTTGGAAGGTGCTGTCTTTACATCCCAGGAGGCTCTGTGGTCTGGACCACACCTTTAGGAGGATGTGCACCCACAGGGACCCCTAAGCCGTCTCATTCTCTCAGCCCATCCTGCTCTTGTTCCCATGCAGGGGCTGAGGAGCTCATGGAGGTAGGCAGGTGTCAGAGACGACCCCATGCCAGAGGACTGACTGGAGCCAGCCAGGCCTGGCCATTTCTGGGAAGCCAAAGGCAGGAAAGGGAGTTTCCTAAGGAAGGACCCAGATGGCAATATCAGGGTGGGTGAAGGAGGTATTCTCTGAATTTCCCTTGGAGTTGGGAGACCAGGTGTTGTTCATCCTAATCTGCAGTGCTTAATCCTGTCCCAAGACTAAGGGGTCCAATTCTCGAGTCCTTGCTCCTCTTTGAGGCACCTTGGGCTTGCCCATCCCACGTCATCAGTGGTGTCAGGCACAGCAGCCCCTTTCTCAGCACCGTTCTCCTGCCCTAGGTATGCAGGGGTGCAGGTGTAGAGGCAAGGAGAGGGTCTTTGTGGGGCCCAGAGAGCTATTTTTGATGCTGCAGGCCCAGGCTCCCAGGGGGACTACAGGAAGCGTCTAGCTTGCAGGCACAGGCCTTTCAGTAAAGGTCACCCATTCAGAGCTCCAGGATGTAGCTAGTTCGGGTGATCAAATTCTCCCATCTTAGGACTGGGGAATCTCATGCCTAGTGGCAAAGCAGAGAGACCCCAAATGGCAAAAAACAGCTACTGATCTTTCCCCTCCTTTTACAGTAAGGGGCTTAGGTGACCCATAGAGCTCCATGGTCCTCGCAAAAAGTGGGGTGACCTGGGAGAGAGCCAGTGAGCTTCTAGGCTTCCCTTCCTGGCTGTGGGACTCTAGCCTGGAGCAGGGTAGGATTCAAGGGAAGATCCAGTGCCCAGGCTCTGTTCCAGGCTGCCCACCCCAGTAACTTGCTGTTGAGAGGTAGGTGGCGACCTATAGTGACCTTTTGCCTTGTGTTTAGTGACCGGGACACACAGCTGGTGCGGCTGATGCGGCGAAACAGCCTGAACCGCGAAGAAGCAGAGGCCCGCATCAACGCACAGCTGCCCCTGACGGACAAGGCCCGCATGGCGCGCCACGTTCTAGACAACTCGGGCGAGTGGAGCATCACCAAACGCCAGGTCATCCTCTTGCACGCTGAGCTGGAGCGCTCCCTGGAGTACCTGCCGCTGAGGCTTGGCGTCCTCACATGTCTGGCTGGCATTGCCAGCCTCCTCTATCTGCTCACCCGCTACTTTCTGCTTTACCCCTAGCTGGGCCCACCAAGGCAAGAAGCCCCAGGCCTCCATCTCCTTGGAGGCTGAAGCCAGGTAACACATCCTGTTTCCTCCCAACCCCCTCAAAACACTCTTTCTCTCTCTCTCTCTCTCTCTCTCACTCTGTCTCTCTGAATCTGGGCTGGGCCCCTGCACTGGGCCAGTCTCCCTTTGCAGTGCATCCTGTCTGAGGCAGAGAAATAGCCTGCTGTCAGTAGGTGCTCATACCCACCTTTCCCAGGCCACCTTCCTGCTCTGGCACCACCTACAGAGCAGTGTCCATACTGGTGCACGAGCACAGCAGCCAGAGGCTGCTATGAATTTCTGTGGGCAGGGTGAGGAACACTGTCTCTCTGGCCCTCACCAGTGTTTAGAGCTGGGAGGCTAAGGGTTCCCTGGGCTTGAACCCCCTTTGAGGATGGGCCCAGTCATGGCCAAAAACTCTTTAGTGGACCATGGGAAATCATTCTGGACCAAGGGTTTCTACCGTTGAACAGGGTTCAACAGGGTCCTTGGCCAGGATGCAGTGAGGATTCCCTTGTGGGTGATGCTGGAGCCACCATCCCACCATGGGACTTCTCCAGTGCTCCCCACCCCCTGCTCACTCCCTCCCACCACTCTGTACTCCTAGCCCTGAACTCTTGGTCCTCCTCACTTACCGCAGTTTCTCCCCTCTGTGCCTTAGCCCTGCTGCTCCCCTGCCTGGAATACCTTTTCTTTTCTTTTTTCCTACAACTGGCTAACTCCCAGCTTAAGTACCATCTGAAGCCCCAGGCTGGGTTAGGTGCTCTGGGATACCACCCCCCCATGTTTACCTTAATCCACGGTACCATCATCAGCCAAAAGCTGGCCGGTTTCTCCTACTAGCCTGTAAGCCCTTTGCGGACAGACAGGAGCAGTGTGACATTCATCTCTGTGTTCCTAGTGCAGAGCCTGGCTCGCTGTTGGTGCTTAATAAAGTGTGTTGGTCTGAAATGCCCTGGACCAACCAAAATTCCCAGACTCGGCTGATACCATTTGGGGTTACACTTGTCTTCTTCCCACACTGAAGCCGGGGCCCCTCACTTTCTGGACCCCAGAAAGAAGAGTAGTTGTCTGGCTTCTCCCTGGGCCCAAGGAAGAATCCAGCCAGGTCCTAGGTACATTTGTGGGAGGTGGGTGGAGGTGCCAGGCAGCATAACTCCCTCTTACCCCACTGCTCCTTCTGCCCTCCCCCACCCAATTAGATCAGTGCAGACATCAGCCTTCCCCTGCCAGAGCCCGCAGACCTGCTGATGTCTTGATCCTGCGGCTTGCAGCCTATTAAGGCCAGAAGTGAGTGTGACGGATGCGAATGCTGTGGTGGCCATATTTAGTGCCCCCTTTCTCAGAGCTGTTCGTACCTCAGAGATCAGCTCATTAACTTACTGCAAGCCCTCAAGGGGCAAAAGAAGGGTTGGGCAAGGTGGTAGTGAGCTGGTGGGTGGGTGGCCAGGCAAGATGAGAATGGCAGAAGCCTGCTGCTTCCCCGTTAGATGGGGCCTGGCAGAGGGGGGAAAGGGGAGGGAAGGTATGGACCCCCACAGTGCTCTGTTACCCCAGTAATTGAGGAAATGGCTCTTCATGAATGTGGCATGCCAGACACTGCTGGGTGTGTGATACTCTAGAGAGTTAACATAACATGGTTCCCATCCTAGGCCTGGAGAGAGGGAGGGATTTGATCCAGTCAAGCCAGGCATCTGAACTCTGCCCCCTGTGCCTCAGGCTCTTCTCAGGAGGAGCAGGAGGCCTGAGATTGGGACCTGGCCCTGTCTCCTGCTTGCTATGATACGACCTCCTCGTTCAGTGTCTGTTCTCAAGTAGGCTTCGTGGTGCCGGTAACTGGACAAGATCAGTGAGTATAGTGACAACCCCTTGCAAACTGCAACGTTCCCAAGAATTAACTTGGTCCCCCACCCAGTCTGCTGAGTTTGATGTGAGATTGTCAAGAGGATGGCGGGTCCCAAAGGTGTGGAGAAGCCACGAATCCAGTCCTGCCGTCGCCCTGGTGTCACGAGGGCCCCCATTCCTGCTCCTCCAGGCTCCTTTCCCAGGCGTGGTGGTCAAGGCGGCCTTGAGAGAAAGCATGCTTCCCTGGCGGCGGACTTGGGGTCCCTGCCTGCCTTGGGATCCCGGCCTGCCGCTTGAGGAAGCTGCAGGCGCCCCTTACCCCGGGAGCCCAGCCCTGCCCGAGCGGGCGGCCTCCCCTCCGGCCGGCAGGTGGCAGCACCCGCCCGGCTCAGGGCCTGGCCTCCGCGGCGGCGCTCGCCCGGCGCTTCCTAACTTTCTCCCTCAGGGGCCGCGGCCGCCTCTGATCCCCGCCCAGCCGCAGCCGCGGGAGCGCTGCCTGGCCCCGGGCGCTAATTAGAAAGCCGCGTCGCTCGTCAGCGTCCTCTGCGCCCCGGCTCGCCGGGCGCCGCGGGGACTGAGGAATGTGTCCCCGTCTCATCTCCCGCGGGGGCTACGGGCGCGGGACCCTGGAGGCGCTGTCCCCGCTTGGGGCCTCTCCACCCGCAGCGAGCGCTGCACGCGCGCCCGGCTTTTGGGGGCGAAGGCACAGGCAGGCACCTAAAACCACCCACTCCCCAGGCCGGCCCGAGGGTAATTCTCAGAGTTTTAGTTCACAAAGCACATTCACGCGGATATCTTCTGGAAATCCAGCTCTGTGAGGGAGACAGGGCCAGAATTGTACAGAGGCTCGGAGGTTGAGCCACGGGCCGAGCTTCTCTCGGCCGTGCAGCACAGTGCTCCCGGCTGCCTGCACTGCATTAATCACGCCTGGGCCCTCAGCTGGTGATTGACAACTCTTCTTCAGATGTTCAGTGTCTTTTCTCAGGGGGGCTCAGGGAGGGGCGGGGGAGATTTGGGGCACCCCATGATGAGCATCTATGGCTAGAAATTGAATGGAGAGGGACAGACCTGCTGAGCGTCCCTACTTCTTGTAAAGGCACTTTGTGTCAGAAGGAAACAGCCCCAGGGACAGGGGAGGGAATGGGGTGGCAGAGATGATTTCAGGCCATGGGGGCAGATGGGGGTGGGCAAAGGAGACCCCTGGAGATGGCAGGAGAGAAGGAAGAAAATGAAGGTGTGTGGTGCCATGGGTTGCTTTCCTGCTCCTTCCAGGAAAGGAGAGACGTGCTGGTGGCTCCTCCATCCCACCCACAGAGCTGAGGCTGCACCCAGCTGGGACCCAACGCTGCCTCTCTTTGCTCCCCGCCTTCCTCATTCTTCCCAGTCACTCAGATTCCAATACAATTTCCAGCTAACCAGCATGTCGATAGAACAAGTCGGGCGGCCGGATTGCTGGCCAATTACAGGAAATCATTCTGCTCCACAGCTCAGCGCTCAGGGAGAAGCAGGGAGGGAGGGGATTTGAGGAGCCGGTGTCCAGCTTGCAGGCTGGGAAGGGGCTTCGGGCAGAAGGCAGGAGTGCTGCCACCCTCAGAGGAGGAGGCGGGTGGATGGGAGGCTCCTGGGGGCAGTCCAGCCCCAGGCTCTTCCTCAGCCTCACACAGAGCTCTGGATCCAGCTTCCCTGTGATGGAGGATTGGTGCCCCAAGCTAGACAGAGAGAGCGCTGGGGGCTGAGGGTGGATGAGGCGGGCCCAGGAGGCATCTAGTTGGGATCAAATTGGATAGAAGCGGGGATGTGAGACCGACCTCCCCCAGGGCCCTGTGCACTGAGGAGTGGGCATCTGAGTGCTGGGAAGCTGGGACCCACACAGGCTAGACCTGTGCTGCCACAGCCAGCCATGGGCCCAGGGGCTCCTAGGGGTATGACAGAGCAGAGGGGAGGAAAGGGGCTACAGCCTGCAGCCTAGTGGACTAGCAGCACCTCACCTTGTGACAGGGTAAATCTTCCACCCCAGGAGGCGGAGCAGAGACACCTGGGAGAGGCCTAGGGCCTCCTCACCTTCCCAGCGCTGCCTTACATCCCACCTCTGGCCCTCAAGAAACTTTCACTCAATTGAAAGGACCCCAGCTCCCCTCCACTTTGCATCAGTCTGGATCCACTCTGACCTTCTGTGCCTACCTGGAAGCCTCTTTGCCAGCGCCACCCCATCCCTCATCACATCTCTCCCAGCCCTGCCCCAGGCTGTCCCACCCTGAGATACCCCACCCCCAGCACCAGTGATGCACTCCCCTTCCCAGTCCCTTGAGTCTCCCTCAAAGTACTGGAAGATCCTTGAGAACCAGAAACTTCCCTATGGACTAATTCCACCCAGGGAGTGCTTGTTGCCATGTTTGTCTTGAACCCCAAAAGGAGGCAACTGTGACTCAATGATCTCCTCTGCTCCATGCTCTAGTCACCTCCCCAGGCCTTCTCCACAATTCCCCACTATCTCACTGCTCCCTCCTCCAATTCCAAACCCTCTCCCCAGACTCCACCAGAGCTGGGCCCTGGGTTGGATTCACCCTCAGCTCTTTGGCCAACCCAAGGTTAGACAGAGGGGCAGATATGGGAGAGAATATAGACCTGGAGCCCAGTGCACCTGGCACCCAGCAGCGCTCAGGAAATTTGCTGAGTTAATGCGGTTGAATAGTAAGGCCATCTTCCAAGTTCCTTTGGTGAGGTGCTTGGGGAGAGCAGGAGCAGCGCCCTGGGACACCTCCTTCCCCGGAGTCTCTGCTCAAATACATAGGCTGAGACACATGGCGTAGGGGTGTCGGGGTGGGGGGGTCGGGTATGGCCTAGTATGCGTCGCCGGCTTGGGGCATGAAGGGCGCCTGTCGGCTTGGCAGAGCTGAGATTAAGCCACGGCTCTTGGGCTCCTAGCGCCGCCTCCGCAGTCCCTCCCGCGGGCGCTGCCTCCCGCGGGCCGGGCGCCCCGTGCTCGGCGATCCGGAAGAGGGCGCCCACCCGGCCCACGGCTGCGGTGGCCCCAGCCCAGCGCGCCGCGCTCGGTGGCCCGCAGGCTCCGCGCCATCGATCCGGCCGCGGGGACCCGGGCGCGCCGCCTCCCTACCCCTCGCTTTTCGCTTTTAATTGAAGTTTGTTTGAGCAGAGCGCGGAGCGGGCAGAGGCAGAAACCAAATATTTAGTTGCTGCAAATTGGCACCTCAAGATCAATTACCCGGCCGGTGTCAGGGCCTGCGCCGCCCCCCGCACCCCGCGGAATCTCAATGCCGCGCTGCCCACGCCCGCGCCGCCCGCCTCCATTCCGCGGCACGTTTCTCATCAGCTCCAGCCATACATCACCCGTGGCCGCGAGGGAACAGATTTTCAATGGGAAAAGTTCCCTGGGAGGGTCCTCCTTGCTGATTCCCGCCGCGCCTTGCGCTGTCTGGCCCCTGCCCCCACCGGGCCTGTCTGAGCTGGACAGCCTGGAAGTATATACAAGTGAGCTCCAAAGCAAGGACTTTGGGTCACACGGACCTGGCCCTAATCCCAGGAACTCTTCTGACCCTCTGGGTGACCTTGAGGAAGTTACTTATGTTCACTGAGGCTCGGTTTCCTCCTCTGTAATATAGGGGCTCAACCTTCACCTTGTGGGGCCAACATGGAAGTGCAGCGCCCCGCAGGGGTCTGGCGCACAATGGCTTCCATAGGTGTTAGTTCTCAGACCTGCTAGAGTGTCAAATAGGTTCTAAAATGAAGTGAGGGACACTGAGTGAGAGGCAACTCAATCAAGCCACAGACAACTGACACATGGGAAAGTAGGGGGCAGCCAGCCCAGCTGAGGCCTGACAGGTGGCAGGGCCCTGGTCAAATTCCATCAAGGAGATGTCTGACCCCTGGCCCAGGTGCACCTGGGCACACCTGGAAGAGGAGCTGCTCCTGCAGTACCGAGGGTGGAGAGTTAGGCCTGGAAGTGAGCTGGGAGACAGCCATGACCCCAAGGCTGCACCCAGGGAAGGAGGCAGAGGGCAGTGAAGAAGCTCCCCAAAGGCTCCTGACCCGCACCAAGCTGAGGACCAGGAGGCCACACCTGTGGCAGGGGCTAGGAGGAATCTGGGCTGGTGGGCTGCAGCTGAGGCTTTG